TGACAGCTCAGCTCTATACCCTGTCTTTACTCTAATCCTCAAGGTAAGAATTATATCCTGTATAAAGGCAAATCCTATTGCCATTGCACTACCTTAGTGTCTTCATGAGACATGAGGGACATTGTGCCTATAATTTTTGCTTTCTTCTCTAACATATTTAAGTAAGCCCTTTGTACTAATTTCTTTCCTTGTGAGGATGTGTTTCAGTAGTACTGTATAGCATCAGCACCATGATGAAGTATTCTTAGTTTTTGCTTCACAAAAAAATTTAATATTTTCCTCATAGAATCTACTTTCCATGGTATGGATCACCCTTTATCATTAGGGTCTTATCTTCTCCATTTATCTTTATTTTTGTTAATAGAGAACAATCAAATCTATATATAAATGTCTAAATATCAGCTTTTGTTTACAATACTAAGAAAAATCAAGGGTAGTATTCAACATAAATTCTTTCATTAAAAAAACTTTCATTAACATTACTAAAGTATTTTGTTTATAGTTCACACAGAACCCTTTTACAGGGATTCTTTTTCATATGATTATCACTGTATAATACTATTTTCTTGACCTTCAGTTAGGTTAAATTTTATGTATTTTAGTTAAAAATCTTAATTTGTGATATGTGAAAGTAACAGTGTAAACATTTATCTCTATAGCCCATATTTATTCAGCAATGAAATTTATTATAAATCACAGAATCTATGCCTAGAAATGTTCAGCAAACAGTAATGTAGAATCTAAGGGATATTTACTTTTTCCAAATAGATAGTTTTATTAAATTCTATTAAAAATTAAAGTACATGTAATTATTTGAATATTTGTTCTCTACTATTTTGTTTCAAGATAATAAACCTGATTTTTAAAAATATTTTAAAGTGCATTAGTTATTCTTGTGTAATATGATGGATTTTGGTAAAAATCAGGTGTCTTTTTGAAAATTAATGAGAAAAGTCAGTAAGGTAAACACAAAATGAATTATCTAGTTAAAGTTAAAGAAAATGTTCAGCATAAACAGGATATAGTCTCTGGAGATCCAAGGCTAAAATTCTGACTCCACCACTAGGCTAAATGCATGATGTTGAACAAGTAACTTAAATGTTGTACCTCAGTTGCCTCATCTATGATATGGAGATAATCTTTGTATATCCTATAGTCTTGGTGAGGATTAAACAAGGTAATAAGTGGAAATCACTTTCCACTAGTGAATTTAATAAATTTTCACTATTACCATTATTAGTGTCATAATGAGGCTAATTATAATAGAAAGAAAAACCCCACAACAAAAAGGAGGAACCCCAATACTCCACAATACCAGACTGGTTGCATGAGCTATGGTTTATCCACTCAAGGGCAAAATCATTAAATTTCATAACAGTATACCCAGTGTGTAGCATAAGAACTAAGTCTACAACCATTTCATGCAATCTGGATTTCATTATGAAACACACAAGATACACACTAGGTAACATTTTAATATCACAAAAATTGGAGTTTGTTTTATAGGCAAGGGCCTGTCATAGTTTAATGAGTAGTGTGTGATGCATTTAATGCAGTTTGTGGTTGACAGAATGATAACCTTCCAAAGATGTCCATGTCCTAATAGCCAAAACCTGTCAATGCTACTTTCTATGGGAAAATGAACTTTGTAGATGGGATTAAACTAAGGACTTTGAGATGGGGAAATTATCTTGGATTATCCAAACAAACCCAGTGTAATCACTAGGGGCCTTACAAGGAGGAGGCAAAGGGGTGTAGAATTGGTAGTAGAATGTGATGACAGAAGCAGAGGCTGGAATGATTTGAAGAGGTCAGAAGTCAAGAAATGCATGCGGCCTCAAGTAGCTAAAATGGTAAATGACTTCTCCTGAAACTTCTAGAAGGAATCAACTTTGCTGACACCTTGATTTTAGCCTAGTGAGACTAATTCTGGACTTCTAACCTCTAAAGCTGTAAGATAATAAGCATGTATTCTTTTAACCTCCTAGATTTGTGGTAATTTGTTTCAGCAGCAACAGAAATCTAATACCTGGTCAGATTTGGTGCAATAGGTTCTTTTTTACTTCTAAGCAATGTTAGGCCCTCGGTGCTTTCTGAATACCACCTGACAGCAAAAGAGGCAATCAATATACAGCTACTGAATGAACGCTGTATGGAATAGCATACAGCCATCAAAATGATATTGACAAATGGAAAAATGTTATTTAAAAGAAATATTAGTTTGCATCTCAGTGAAATCATAGTTAACTAACTGGGCAAACATCAAATTCTGCATATAAAAATTCCAGCATAAAATAATTAAATTACTAATAGTGATTGTTTCTGCATGTCAGTACAATGAAGATGACTTTACTTTTTCTTCTTTACATTTCTGCCAGTTTTCTATAATGAGCAGGTATTGTTTTCATAATGGAAGAGAGCACATCAATTGCATTTAAAAAGTAGATAGCAGTATAATGAAGAACATGAAAAGCAATTTACACAATACTGCTAAATTCAATCTCTTTATGCATCAATGACTCTAATTTAACTAGTAACTCAAAACCTTCAAATTCCTGAGTTTAGCATGTTAGTAACTGTGAAGTCAGCATGGGTCTGTGTTTAATAATAGTAAAGTTATGATTATCATCTTCAAAAATCACCTGCTGACCAGCCACTGTGAGCTGCATGGGGACAACAGCAAGAAGTGATTTATGCAGAAATTGGCAATCAACCCAGTGGGAAGGAAAAAAGGCAAATGGAAGAAAATCTCAGGAATCTACAGAATGATTCTGCTTTCTTGAGTGTTGGAAAGACAAGAGAGTTCTTCCTATAGCTATCCCTCTTTGACCTTGGAGAAATCATCCCACCATTCTGAGCTTCGGTCTCTTCCTTTGTGTTATGAGAGGGTACAAAACAAACTTATCTCTAAGATGAATGCCCCTCAAATCCACAAAAACCCAAAACACCAAACCAAAAAAAAAAAAAAAACTTTTACTATTCTTCAGTCTCACTTTGTATTTACATAGGTATTGCTATGAGCTGCTGTGAACTAGGTCTTCTGCACTGTGCAACTTTCCAATTCCATTACCATCAGATATTTCACAGTATCTTCTTTTTTACAATATCAGAAAATAGACTGTATAGTGCATTAAAAGGCTTCAATATGTAAGGGGTTATAGTAGCAGCCTGATGTCTGGTTAGTCACTGAAGACTTGCAGCTTGTCACTTGTCAGCTCTTTGAGGAACACAGTCCTGACCTAGGAAACTTCCCTACGTCCTTCCAAAAAACAAGTAAATTAGCAAAACTTAAAAAACAATTTTCCAACTAAATTAAATGCTTGATAATTTCACAATTATTATGATTTTAAGTGAGGATGCCATTTCTGGAATAAATCATTTGTGAAATTGTAGAGGGAGTTTGAAATGTCAAAGGATTTATTTTTCCCAGGAAATATTGATAGAATATCTCTTATTTGAAGGAAACTTTGTTATTTAATCCAAATCTTAAGGAACTTTTAAGTCTGTAGGGGGGAATAAACCATGTATATAGCTAATTCTAATGTGAAACAGAAAAGTAAATGCTTTAGAAAGACATAGATGAATTATGATGGATAGAATTTCAGAGGAGGAAGAGAGATTATGTCCAGCTGTCCAGACAGCGAGATGGTTCAGGGAAGCTTATGGGGTGATACATGGCATTGAAGTCTGTTCAGATCCCACATTCAAGAATTGGGGTGGAAGAGGGGGGCTTTATTGGTGGAGGAAACAGAATAAGCATTGTCTTGGTGGCATGGAAAATTTGGAATGTGTATGGAGGAGGGCAAAAAAATGAAATGTCATGGTATTATCACCTCCAGGTTGAAGATGCATGGGATATAGATCAAAATGACAGGCAAGATCCAGATCACCAAGGCCTTAAATGCTGACCTAAGGAGACTTTATTTTATACACAGCTGAGAACCATATTGGACTTTTGAGTAATTATTTAATTGATTATCATTCATCTCTCTCTATTATAGGGGACAAAGGTAATTCTGTAGTTTAAAATTTATTATGATTTTTCACTCAACAATCGAACAAAATTCTAGGCAACCTTTTCGTACATCAGCCAAAGAATTGGAAAAGATTTCAAATCTATATGTTTGAAACTCTAAGGGAGAAGGTTTCCCTCATTGCTTTACTATTTAGTTGGGGTTGAAACAGCAGTAGCCCCATTAAGATACTGGAATAAAAGCTGCACATGTGAAGGTCCTAGGAATTCCAACCATCTGAGGCATAGAATATGACATGAACTTTATCCAGTGGCCTCCCAGTATCCTAATTTCACACCTTCTGAACTTGAGGGCTTGGCTTTGGACCCTGGTCTTCCTACCTGATTTTTCTTGGGAGTTGGCACTAAATCTATATTCTGTACACAAAAACAGAATTCAACACAATGTTCTGTGTGTGGCTGTGTGAATGTGTGTGACTCATGTGAATTTCTTTGTAAATATATAAATATATACACATTACACAAAATGGTGATGGCACCTACCGTTATCTTATGGTTATACTGTTTTTTTTGGAGTGAAAGCTATATTTTTCCTAAATGGTTTGTGAGCATCTTGAGAGCAGGCTCATCATATTGCATTATGAATCCAGCCAATACTCAATTAGTATTTATTGATCAATATATCTAAGCTAAGTCCTATAGCCTTCAGGATATGCTGCATTTCTTTCTAGGATCAGGAGAACAGCTGGTTAACACACTTGGTCTCATAGGACAAAAACATTATGGTTTCTATATTTCTTTAGATCTGCAAAAGGCAAGATAGCTTATTGCTTTAAAAGCTCCTGAGATAAGTGAACTTATCATATGAAAGCAATCTATCAATATGTGTGTGTGCATGCATGTGTGAAACCTGCCTGCAACAGCAAAATGTAGAAATCATGTGTTGAATATTAAATACAGGTGGTGTTAGCAAATGCAAAGAGTTCATCAACCAGCACAGTTATCATGTGTTATGACTGACACTTACCTCAATAAAGAAAATGCTGGCTGCTGACGTTGGATGGTGATACATATAGACAGTCACGAGAATGGCTGCTACTATAATGAGGACCAGGATGAGAATTCCAACAATGAGGCCAGCATGAAGGGTGCTCCCTTTCTTCTCGGCTGCACTGTCATCTGTAGAAGCTGAAAGAACAGCACAGCTGTCAGATCATTCATGTGTGCACTTTTAGGTTTGCATTTTCACTAGAGGGGATGTTTATAGTTTTAATAAAGTACCAACTATAATTTTTTCTTTTACTTTCCATACAACTCTTCCTTTCCATGACACCAGTTTTCAAAGTTAGATGCTCTTTATTTGGGCAATGAAAAATCCATACCATTAATGATTAAACATAGATTTGTAATTGTGTTTTAATTTATAGTTCAATAAACAAAATTAATAGCCTTTATTCTAAAAGGACCGTGGAAAATCTAAAACTCTAATTAACTATATAATAAATTTAACTTTGATTTTTTTCATTAAACCACTGGCACTTATACCTATGGAAAAATTGATTACTTTCTGCAAATTCCTCTCTCATTTTCTTTTGGAAATTTTATATTGAAGAGTATTATGCTTCTTTGGGTGGGCTAGAGAAGCATTTTCAGAAAGTCTGTGCATGAGTTCAAAGGCTAATTTTCAAAATCTGTTTTAAACCAAAATGTTCTTTAAAAGAGTAACAGATGGACGCTAAATGACCCTCAAATAGTTTTATCACCATCTGAAGAGAACACACAGCATATCAAAATATTCTACTATGCCACAAACCAGTATCATTTGATCTGACTTTTACTGAGATGTTTTCCACTGTAATACCCATTTTCAGAGAATTAGGAAAAAGAAATTAAATTTCTAAAGTAATAATTAACCAACCCAAAGTCAGTCAACCAAACAAAGCTAATCTCTAAAGTCTTCTCTTGTTCTAAAATTCTTCAACCTTTGATGACTACTCAGGTATTTAAAAATCTTAAATTAGGTGTAGCAGGTAACAGTGTTTTTGTGCATACCATGATTGATGTTTTTGAACCATTAGAAAATTACTTAATATTCATAAAAGTTCTACAGCAGTGAGTCCTAATCTTTTCACTACTAATTTGAATCTTTGTTTTAAATATTATTTTTGTCTATTAAACTTTGTTTAATAAGCACTGACTTATTTCTCTTATTTTAGATTTTTGCTAATAAAAAGAAAACATGACTGCCTATCAGAATGCATGGTCAATATGAAGTAAGAGAATTTCAGATAAAACAAAGAAACATGACCTATCCATCCTTTAAATTTTTGTTGTTATTGTTTATATGCTGTTTGAGACTTACAGCTGGTATTCAGTAATTCTTGTCCAAATCTAATAAAGCTCAATATCCTAAAGCTTTCCTTTATACACTATAATTCATTATTGAAAGAATATACAATTTAAACAGTAAATCATTATATGAAAATTCATGTACATAGAGGATTCTGGGAAGAAGGACAAGTATGAAGTATCAGGAATCTGTTTCCCTACATAGACAATAATTGCATTGGTAGAATGTGTCTGACAACTATCTTGGCACTTTGGACTCTATTGAAGGCTTGCAACTTTCAAGAGAAAGGCTTGGACTATAAATTGAGGTTAATTTCAGTCAATTTTCAACTCTTAATGGCTGCCCATCCTCCACCCCTCAGTCATGTGGCAGGCAGCTGTACATGTGTTCCTGAAGCAGCCTCCAGGAGCCAGGGCAGGCAAAAAGTGCCTTGTCCTCCAGAGATCAGGATCTGTGTTCTGACTTCTGATTGGTGCTTCTCATCACAGAGGCACAAAGAGGTAGCCCCTGGTTTTTCTTTCCTCCATTGTTGCAAGCCCTTCCCCCTCTGGCTGAAGTGACTTCCATGGGATTTAAAGAACTAGTGCTCTTTTCACCCTCTCCCTACTACATTTTTCCCCCTTTTGGGAGCTAGATGTAAAGACTGGGACATTTGGAAACATCTGCATGTATGGGGAAAAACTGGAAAGTGTGTGTAAATGCCTAGGGAATAGTTCAGAAAGATTTGAAAACACATTAAGATTACATCTCAATTTGACCTTCAGCATAGAGACAGTCTGCAACCACAACCACCACCACAAAAACAGCACAATCAACTACCAACAAAAATAATATCAAAAAGCAGCTAAAACCTGGAGAAGGGTGGGGGGCGAATCTGATTTCCAGAATTACCACATTATTACATTCAAATGTCCAGTTTTTAATAAAGATTCACAAAACATACAAAGAAACAGGAAAGTATAGCTCATTTAAAGGAATAAGATCAACAGAAACTATTCCGGAAAAAGAACTGATGGCAGTACAATAGCCAAAGACTTAAACAGAATTGTCTGGAAGATGCTCAAAGAACCAAAAGAAGATGGGGAGAGGGCCAAGAAAACAATGTGTGAACAAAATGGAAATACCAAGATAGAGATAGAAAACCTAAAAAAAAAAAAGCCAAAAGAAATTATGGGGCTGAAAAATAGAGTAATTGAAATGAAAAATTCACTAGAGGGATTCAAAGGCAGATCTGAGCAGGCAGGATAAAGAACCAGTGGACTTGGAAGGCAAGACAGTGGAAATCATTGACTTTGAGGGACAGAAAGAAAAAGAAGTCAAAGGTCCATCAAGCAGGTCAACATGCATATTACAGGAGTTCCTGAAGGAGGGACAGAGAGAGGGGCAGAGAGAATATTTTAAGAAATAATGACTACAAACTTCCCAAATTTTAAAAAATATTTTATTTATTTATTCATGAGAGACATATATAGAGAGAGGTAGAGAGGGAGAAAGAAGTAGGCTCCATTCAGGGAACCTGACATGGGACTCGATCCTGGATCTCCAGGATCCCACCCTGGGCTGAAGGCAGCGCTAAACTGCTGAGCCACTGGGGCTGCCCCAAACTTCCCAAATTTGATGAAATACATGAATATAAATACCCAAAAAGCTTAAGGAACTCCAGTAAGATGAACTCTTAATGACCCACACTGAAATGCATTATAGTCAAACTTTTAAGAGACAAAGTCAGAGAAAGAATCCCTAAGATGACAACAAAGAAGATAGCTTTAATAGAGGAAAAGAAGGCAAGGAATTTATCTACTTAACTTAATTTAATTTATTTATGTGTGTGTGTGTGTGTGTGTGTGTGTGAGTGAGAGAGAGAGAGAGAGAGAGAGAGAGAGAGAGAAAGAGCATGAAAGGGGAGGGGCAGAAGGAAAGGGAGAGAATCTCAAGCAGACTCTGCACTGAGCATGGAGCCCTACACAGGGCTTAATCTCAGGACCTTGAGATCATCATCTGAGCCAAAATCAAGAGTTGGATTCTTAACTGACTGAGCCATCCAGGTACCTGCATTTATTTATTATTTATTTATTATTTATTTATTTATTTATTTATTTATTTATTTATTTGAGATAGAGCACACAAAAGGCAAGGTATTTAAACATTTCCCTACAAAAAATGAACTAAACACAAAAGAAGACAGTAATGCTGGAAATAAGCCAAAAAAAACTTTAAGACACATAGAAAACAAATAGCAAAAATAATAGAAATAAGCCCCACCTCATTCGTAACTGTTTTATATTTAAATGGATTAAAATTTCCAATCAAAAGACATTTTGTCATAAAGAATAAAAACACATGATCCAACTATATGCTGCCTATACTTCAGATCCAAAGACACAGATTGAAAGTGAAAGTATGAAAAGAGATGTTTCATACAAATAGTAACTAAAAGACAGCAGAGGTAACTATACTAGTATCAGACTAAGTAGATTTTCAATCCAAAGATTATGAGACAAATAAGGACATCATATATTAATAAAAGGTTTCAATTATAAACATTTACATAGCTAATGACAAACCATCAAAAAATATGAAGCAAATATGATATAATTGAAGGGATAAACCTACAGTTCTATAAGAATAGTTGGAAATTTCAATATCCCACTTTCATTATTGGAAAGAACCAGACTAAAGATAAGTAAAGAAAGAGGACTTAACACAATGAACCAATTAGATCTAACATGCATGTATAGTATCCTCTACCCAATGACAATATACACATTCTTCTCAACTGTGCATGGAAGACCTCATAGAAGAGATCATATGTTATGTCACAAATTAAGTTTCAACAGGTTTAAAAAATAGATATCATACAAAGAATTTTCCCCACTCACAGTGGGATGGAGTTAAGAAATGAGTAACAGATACATAACTGGACATTCACAAATTTGTGGAAATTAAGCAACACATTCTTGAACAGCCAATGTATCATCATGAAATCACAAGGGAAATTAGAAAACAAAAACACAAAAACCAAAACATAGGGACTGCAAGTAAAGCAAGGCTAAGGAGAGAATGCACAGCTGTTAATGCTTACATTAAAAACAAGATCTCGAATCAACAACCTAACTCTACAAGTTAATGAACTGGAAAGAGAAGAACACACTAAGCCTGAAGTTAGCAGAAGGAAGAAAATAATCAAGAGGAGAGTGGAGATCAGCAAAATAAAGAATAAAAAAATAATGGAGAAAATTAATGATATCTGGTTCTTTGAAAAAATCAACAAAACTGGAATGAGGACTCAAACACCAGCAGTCTGGCCTCAGAGTCTGCACCCTGAACCTCTGATCACTAACCCCTCAACTGACACTGAACTGTATGTACTGCTGTTTCTTCTTCATGTTAGCAATTCTGGCAAAGAATTCTAAAAAAAAAAAAAAACAACAAAAACAAACAAACAAAAAAAAAACAACTGGGTAATTTCAAATAAAGAACAATTAACTTAAATATGGTTAAGAATTAGCATTGTGCCTTCAAGAGGGGAGCAGGGTCTACGTCTGACTTGTCACCTCCCTGAGACTAGGCCAGTGATGGCCATCCCATGTACTTAAAATCCATGTTGCTGGAAGAGAAGGAAGGAGAGAAGAGAAAGAAAAAAGAAAGAAAAATAAAGCTGTTGAAAATGGGTTAAAGCTCTTGGAATGACCACTTCTATTAAAATCAAACAAGGTTATGATAAATTACTTTATCTGGTCTTCAGTTATCTTATCTCTGCAATGTAGTCAATAATAGTAACTACCCCACAGAAGTGCTGTACAGAATTAACCATTGAACACAGAGAAAGTGCTTAGGA